GAGCTCTGATTGGTTCCCAGTAAACCGCTCCAACAGGTGGAAAAGAATATTTAAAATCCTAAATATAAAACACCAAACTGCTGAGAACCACCGTGTTCCTGCTTCTTCCCACCACAGAATTCCAGTGGGATTTTCCACAACATGAGAAACACTGGAGAGAGTGAGTGATGTTGGAGCTTTGAGTTGGTTTTTTTGGTTTTTTGTTTTTTTGTTTTTTAAAGTGACAGTTGGGGCTTTTTTAAACACTGACTAAATAAGGCAATGACACCAGTGGATCATTCCACTGTGACGTCACAACAGCAGCTGCTCTGATGAAGTTCAACTTAAAACTTGTTTAGATTTGTTATTACCACATTACAGTAGCAGCAGTGACTAACTCGTCACCTGGAAACTAACTTAATAACCTGCTACAGTTAACCTTAGTTAACCTGTTAACTTCTGATTTCTGATCTAAAAACACTTTCATCTTTTTATTGATGATGAACAGGTGATTCGACTGAACCGTTCTACAGGTTCTGGATCCTCTGGACCAGCAGAGGTCCGGTCCGGTCCGGTCCGGTCATCACGTCAGTCATCTGTCTCTCCACGGCCCCACGCTGCGCTGTTTCCATACGGGGCGGGGAGAGAGAGCACAGCGCACGGTGAGCAGCGGCTCTGTGTGCCCCGGAGCAGCAGCATGGGTCTGGAGAAGGAGAAGTCAGACGTCGGTGTAATGATGGACGACGACGAGTTCACCACAGCCATCGAACCCGTTCTGTCCAAGAAGGGCGACGTGTACGAGGCGGCACCGAACCGAGATCCGAACGACATCAACTGGCACTTGAAGGTAGAGTTCACGTCACAGCCGCCGTGGACGCAGTGTTTCAGAGTGAAACTGGACTTTCTGACAGACATAGATCAGTGACCCAGTACTGTTTTCGTGGTTCGTCGGTTCGTCGGTTCGTCCGTCGCTCTCCGTCCGCTTCCTGTCAATCATCTGACCGTGTGTTTGTGTCCGAACAGGTCGATTTTGAAGACGTCCTCGCGGAGCCCGGCTCCACGCACAGCTTCGACCGAGTGTGGATCTGCAGCCACGCAGCCTTCGAGCTGCTCAGGTTCATCTTCTACCGGCTGCTGACCACCCTGCTGGCCGTGCCCCTGGCGTTCACCCTGGGGCTGATGTTCGCGACCCTCAGCTGCGTCCACATCTGGTAAGAACCACGGATGTTCTCCCCCCCCCCCCCCCCCCCCCCCCTCCCCCCACACCTCGTGCCTGCT